GGGTGTCCAACTCTGTTACCATACTGTCCACGCATTCCCTCATTTGGACAAACATTTTACGCATCCGTGAGGCCGAGAAAGTGGGCGACAGTACTGTCCGCACCCGACGCCACTCGTCGCCCGCCATTGCTTCGAGATTTTGGCCCAGTATTGGGTGGGCTTTTGAGTTGAATAAAGGGTTTCCCTCCTTATCGTTAAATAGGTGAAAATCTGTGACCAAAATATTTTTGATGAGCTCCGGGTCCGCCACCGTTAGTATGGGTCGATTGCCTTCAAAAATACTGTTTTTGTTTAATGAATAAAATTGAGTCATTTTTGTGTCCGAAATACCCGTATATTGTGCCGAATTCGTGAATCCATTGGACCTCCAAACTAGTGATTGGTTTAAGGAATTTATGCAAAATATTTCCGAAACCAATCACAGGCTTTGGGCCCCGTATGCCTCGTTTGGACCAGTAGTCAAAGTTTCGCGTAAAGTATCTATTAATAAATTATTACAATTAAATCATCCACCTTGAAATTTTGTAAATAGTGTGGATTTACCTGTATACAATGTATAATATACATGGAACTATAATAATCCACAAACCATATACTACCTGTATAGATTTAATAATGTTAAACATTTTTTGAAGTTATCAAAAATGTAGTCTCTGTTAAATAACTATCATTGATATAATTAAATGTGAATGTGAATTTATACTGTGCATAATATACATGTATATATGGGGGATTTTAAGATTATGTTAATAATTGCTTATAATTATTTTTTGTAAAATTAATTTAATTTTAAGAACTTATGAATTATAAGCGATTTGGTTGCCAACGATTGTTTTATTTTTTTTATGTTCAAGGGGAAATAATTTGTGCAATTCATAAATATTACAGCAATCACACCAATCAATCCAATTGAATATCTCTAAATTATAGTTTTCATTATAAGTTGACCTTGCTTTCATTTTTATTATTTTCTCATAATAGTATTTAAATTATTTGTAGATATAATTTCAAAACTTTTATTAAAAATATATTCCCCTTAATATTTAATTACACAAATTAAAAGTTCATTATAAACAATAGTGGATACAATTTTATTACATACTCGTGATACAATTAAAATTTAATAGCTAATTTGAAATTTTATTTTTTTCTAACGTTGTACTTGGTTAATTAAGAAAATTAAATAAATATAATTATGTTTTTCTTAGGTTTATATCATTACAATATTCAATATACTTAAATACATACAGTAGTTTACAATGTGAATTTTACATATCATAATATTGAATCAAATAATATAAGTTTTGTAAATTGTATTTCACAATCGCCTAAATAGCCGGTGTTATCACTAATTTGTTGCAAATAATTTTGATTTGTATTTCGCTTTCTCTCACCAATTATTTGACGAGTTATTTAAGGATTGGAAATATATTTTTATAACTTTACTTAAGTGTAAAAGTTGAGGGGAACTGGTATGCGATCATATTCAGATAACTGGGTAAAAATTAAATTTATCTGGGAAATTAGCCCTCGGTATATTCAAAATTAATTGCCTGCAACACGCCTTTCCAGGCCTAACAGTAGGCGTTGTGGTGAGTGATGGACAATACTGGACAGTAGTCGTAGGGGACGGTCGGTGTGGACAGTCGTCACAAACTTATACCTCATTATGAGGTGAATGAGTGTAGTCT